TGGTGGGGGGGGGGGGGGGGGGGGGGGAGCGTCAAAAACCGGAAAGCAAGCAACTTGGCCACAAGCGGTCGAAGAATCAAACACGCCACCACGATATGTATGGGGCTGACGTGCCATGAAGCATTCAGAACGGCATCGTGTGGAACCCCCACGTGGTCACCGCGTCATACCAGCATCCCATCAATCTTCGCCACGATTCAAGCGTCCCCGTGTACAACTTGTGGACTTCCCACCGATCTTGGTCATTGTTACCATCCAGAAAAAAACGGAAGCGTGTCGGTACCAAGCAGCACCAGTGGAACCAGCGGCAGTGGCAAGTGCATCAGGCAGTCACCGTTAGCGTCGGCCGGCTCTGGTACACGACACGATGACCCGACCGCCACTTCCAGGCTTACCTTCCGGTGAGGAGCAAGCCCTTGACCGTGTACTCCGCGGAGGTGGTGAATGTTCCGTTGTCCCCACACCCCGCAGAATCATCACACCTTTCGTGCGGTCCATCCGATGTTGCGGTAGGGATCGAAAGTGAGGGAGAGGGGCCGGAAAGCGTATGATCCAATGTTGCGGGTCAGATCGGAAATGGCAGACAGAGAGGGACAGGATCGGAAAACGGGTGCCGGATGTCGGTGGGAGGAATGCTGGCCGCCCAAATCGATGGTAGAAACCGTCTTTTTGAGTGTGTCAGGATATTTCATCCAAGTAACAACAGCGATGTTAGGCATGGGTGGTGTACTATGCTCGACGAGTACCTGAGTGCTTGCCGCGGCGACTGCAAAGGAAAACGTTCTTGATAGTCGCTGCTGCTGCTGTTGTTTTTGTTATTCGTCCATTCTTTTAACAACCGTTCCGGGCGTTCCACCCTCGCCCCTCTGATTGTGCTGCGCAATAAAAAAACACCAATAAAAACACAGAAATCCCTTCCCCCGGCCACAGCCTACCCCTCACACCTGCTACGCATGTACAACACGGTTTAGATCCCCCACATACTGCTAGCTGCTGTGAGCGCTACACACACCCCACCGTTATCCCCTCCGCCGTGTACTCTCCATCAAGCACCACCACACCCTATGAAGCGTAGCCTGGGCCGGTGAAAACCCTTCATATCGCTCCGTCCCGGCATTGTAGGGATGCGAGGTCAACAGTCCAACGACTACGGCATGCATTTACATGTCTACCCCCCCCCCCCCCCCCCCCCCGGGGATTTGCCCGGAAACATTAACAAGGTTTATAGGGCTCTTTAGGGTGGCCCCGGGGGGTTGGGCCCCCCCCCCCAACCCCCGCCCCCCCCCCTTGGCTGGT